ATGATACAAGTCTGAATGGCACCCTACCAGTGAAAATTGATCCAGGTAAAAGGAGATTGCTCGTCGTTCTTTTAAAATAATGATACCACAGATGTCTCTTGAAGAACTGCTATGCTTTCCCTCTTTGGTGGGTGGGCTTCAATCAGCATCTTTCGCAACAGTCAACATTCTCCTCTCCATCACAACATTTCTTGGCAATTCTCTTAACCTTGTTGTCCTTCACAAAGAATCTACCCTCCATGCGCCGTCCAAACTCTTCTGTCGTTGTCTGACAACAACTGATCTGTTGGTTGGTCTTGTTGCTCAGCCTCTCTATGTTACCTATTGGATGCTCCTAGTTCAGGAGCAGCCTACATCATAGGCTCAGCATTATGTGGAATTTCTTTGTTGACGATGGCGGCAGTAACCGTGGACAGACTTCTCTCCCTGTTTCTTGGGGCTGAGATGCAAAGAGATTGTAACTTTGAAGAGTGTTTATATCATTATAGCTAGCTTTTGGGTTTTATGTCTTGTCGCCTCTTTATGCACCACTTTCGATCATCGTATAATCGCTTTGTGTACCCAGATATTGATATCACTTTCACTGCTTATTTCACTCGCCTCGTACACAAAGATATTTCGCACTCTTAGAAATCATCAGGCACAAGAACAAGATCATGTTCAACAACAGCCGCGCCGACCAAGTGCACTGAACATGGCGCGATACAAAAAGGCAGTACACAGTGCACTGTGAGTACATTTAGTATTAGTTGTTTGTTACACACGATGCGTTATTGTGAGAATTATAGTCACTTATGGTATAAGATATTCATCATACCTAGGCATCGCATTGGCAATGGCAGTTATCTTAGTTTACTTTAACTCGACGTTAAACCCGTTTCTCTATTGCTGGAAGATTAATGAGGTGAGACGAGCAATGAAGCAGACAATCAGACAAGCACTTTGCTTTCCATGGGGTTAGACTTTCCTCGAGTTATACATGATCGCAAAGGTACTTTTAGTGCAAAGCTAACCGATAGAGAATGCTCGTCGCTACAATTTTTGCTCGAGGTCTGTCGATAGTATTTTTTGCTAGTCACGTAAAACAAAATAAAGGAAAGGTAATGGAAACACAAACCAAAACTTTTAAAAAGTATTTTACATGCCACCAAACTTTTGGTAAGTGGGTGCATGGACTTAAATGAACGCTTTCCTTTTCTCATTGAATTCTTTTCAAAACCTTTAATTTTCCGAGATTAAACGTTATACTCCATCTTCTCCGCTCAGCTAAAGGTGAATTTCTACGTACCTGAGAAGACGGCGTTTAAAATAATTGTGAAATGCTAATAGTATCAAAGATGTCTGTCTGTACGTTTGACTCTTAAAGCTAATTTGTTCCTATTTTGGTGATTCTTCTTAATGACCTTTATTTGATAGAGAGCTAATCAAGTGTCCATATTATCTATGTGAAATGAATACTTCAATCATTATCAGGGGTCAAATTGTGACAGATACTTGTACGATAATGTTTCAAGGTTTGTTTGAAAACCTTTACTGAAATCAACTTTATCATTACGCAAATGAAAATGTTCTCTTTGCGTCACCTCTATTTTCACTGCCATTCATTCGCTCAAAAACTGTTCAGTTTATGGAAGATCTTCCCGTATTTACAGCCCTAAATCATTCGGGTTCTTTCAGAATGAATTTCGTTAAGTTTCAAAACAATAAATATGTTATTTACTGGCTAAGGGTCGGTCCGTATGGTGAAAAACTGTGTTTTTCACTATACGGACCTCGACATATATATATATACATACATATATATGTACATGCATATATACATATACATATATACATACATACATACATACATATATATATATATATATATATATGTATGTATATGTTACGAAATGATTAATTTAGTATTTGATGAAATTTCGTACTCAAAACGAGGCCGAGGGAGACCACTACAGCTTTAGCCAATTACAATGGATCCCGCGTTAAACAATGACAAGGCCAGACCATTATATGGAGAGTATCAGTTGTCTTATTTTACTTTAACTTGAAGTTATATCCGTCTTTTACTGCTGGAAAACTGGGCAAGTAAGGCAAGCAGTAAAACAGACACTAAGAGCAGCACTTTGCTGTCCGTAGCTGATAATGATTCAAGTCTTAACTTAACACAAAAGATATGGACCGTTGATTAGCATCCCTTTATAATGGAATATTGTAATATGGATGTTGTTTTCGTCTGTGTTCCACCTCTAATTAAATTTGTTGTAGATATCATCCTTCATTCGTTCCTCTTTTCTTGTAGGTTATCTAAGATTGCAACAAAAAAATCAGTATTTCGTCTAAGCAACCCACAATCAGCCACGATCAATAACAACTTATACCTCTTTAATGATTTTCACGTAGAGACTTCCTCACCAGCGTTTACTAATTCAAAATACGACAGAAACCTTCGAAGTGCCTCAGGTATGAAATGGAAATAACTAGAAAATGGAGAAACGTTGGGTCTATGAATTGTAATTTCTCGGTTACATTCATCAAATCTTTAAACCAGAGTAGCATCAAACCATGTCTGATTTGTATGTAGTTCAGACCTATATCATTATTGGCCATAAAAAATTGGAAATAAGAATTTCAAGCTGGCGATTTTACTTAGTCTTAAAAAAGTTGGATTTGAGACAATCGTGAAGTCAGTCAGCGTCGTCATGAAGGAGGGCGGATGTGTGATTCTGAGCTCCCGAGTTATTGGACTTGTACTCCTTTTGTGTCTTGTTCATACCTCGAGGAAAGGTAAACATGACTACTCTTTTACAAATGAGTACTTTGGTCTACGTTTCCCGCACTCTACGTCGGTTAAAGTGGCAAACTGGGATTCGAGACTCTGCATAATAGAAAATACAAAATGGCGGGCACACGTGCATGTCACTATTAGAGTGAAACGAGCAAACGTTACTACAGCCTATTATGCCAATTCAACCTCGACCTTTAGACCTATTATACAACTGTTACATGATGTTGAACTTAACCCTGGACCAGCAAACAGCTCTATTAGAAACAAGTCTGAAAAGTCAAATGGCAATGTGAAGATTGCACATCTTAACGTCCGCTCGCTTAAATGCCGTGAGCATTTCGTTCTTGTAAAGGAAACGGTACTGGAAAATAAGTTTGACATATTTACCGTATCCGAAACATGGCTCAACAGTTCAGTTACGGATTTGGAAATAGAAATTCCTGGCTATGTTATCTACCGTATCGACCGACAAGCGAAGATTGGCGGTGGAGTATGTGCTTATGTCTCACGAAATTACAGGACGGAGTACTTGAGCGATATATCTCTTATCACGGCCTCTGGCTTTCACCAACTGTGGCTAAAAATCCACGTCAGGAACATGAAGTCTTTCATTGTCTGTACAACCTATAGACCACCGGACGCATCGTTATCTTGTTTCGATTCAGATCTCACAGAGAACTTTATTTATGCCTCGTCGTTCAATGTTCCAATTTATCTATTGGGAGATTTGAACTGCAGACTTGAGAATAGCAACGATCCTGGAGCTAATGTCCTTGTTAATTTCTGCCGTTCCTATAACTTGTCAATACTGATCAACACGCCAACACGAGTTACGGAGACTTCGAAATCAATTCTAGATGTTATCCTTGCATCGGACACAAGACAAGTTCAAACGGCTACGGTTATGGAAAGCTCGATTAGCGACCATGACTTGGTTTATGTCACCTTAAAATTGAAGAAAGCGCGCGCCAAACCCGTCTATATTACAACCAGAAGTTTTAAACACTACAGTCCTGTTGATTTTAGCAACGACGTATCACTGGCACCGTGGTCCATAGTTGATGTTTTCGACGATGTCGAGGACAAACTTTATGCACTTGATTCGCTATTTACTGAGATACTCGACCGCCATGCCCCAGTTAAAACCTTCAAAGCACGCTGTAAACCAAATCCATGCGTAACAGACAACATCCGGGGATTGATGAAGACCAGGGATGATTGGCGTAAGAAAGCAAAGAAAACAAATGATCCGCTATCTTGGACTGCCTACAGATATTTCAGACAGGAAGTAAAGAGGGAAATCAGAATTGCTGAACAGGAATTTGTGGCCCAACAAATCCAGAGGAATCCAAATAACACCAATAATATCTGGAAAGCAATTCGCCAGGGCATCCCCTGCAAATCTACATCTCAGCGAACATACAGTAAGAGCGACAAAACTGTTGCAGACGAATTTAATCAGTTTTTCGTATCTGGTCAGAGCACTGTTGACAAAATTACGTCCCTGGCTAATGAATGCAACCTAACACTTAATCAGAATTATTTTGTACCGAGACAATACGCTCTCTCTGACCAGTTCACACTGAGTACCATTGATTATAAACAAATAGAACGTATAATAGCAGCGATGCCTTCAAACAAGGCCCCAGGGATAGACAAAATCCCGATTCGTGTCATCAAGGATTGTCTTAATCCAATTGTTCACCCAATAACGTCTATCGTTAATGCATCCTTTCAAAACTGTGTTTTTCCATCAAAATGGAAGATAGCTGTGGTTACACCAATCCCAAAAGAGGGCGACCAGGAACAGGCAAACAATAATAGACCCATCTCACTTACACCAGTCTTATCAAAGGTTTGCGAAAGGGTAGTACATAATCAGCTCACCTCGTATCTGCAATCGAATGACACCCTATCAAAGAGCCAAAGCGGTAACAAGAGATGGCATTCGTGTGAAACGTCTGTGATTGAAACAACTGACACAATTCTTAACGCGATTGACAAAAAGAAGTTAACGGCAGTTGTTCTATTAGATATGAGCAAAGCTTTCGATAGCGTCAATCACGACACGTTAATTTTAAAATTGCAAGATGTCGGAATTTCCAGAGACGCTCTCCAATGGTTTCGTAGTTACCTAAGCAACAGGACACAAGTAGTACGAATCCATTCAACGCTATCTGAGCCTTTGTCCGTGACCAACGGCGTCCCTCAAGGAAGTATCTTAGGCCCACTACTATTTAGCATATATACGAACGATCTTCCATCGATCCCACAGAAATGCAGCACTCAGAGTTATGTAGATGATACGAAACTTATCACTTCCTTCGAACTTAAAGACAACCTGGATGCAATTGCTGATTTGGAAGACGACTTGTTTAAAATAGGAGAATGGTGTTCCAACAACCAATTGTTACTTAACCCTGGCAAAACCAAGCTGATGATATTTGGCAGCAGGCAGATGCGTGCAAAATTGCAATTCCGCTCCCTTTCCATTATGGGTGAGGACATCGTCCCCGCAGACACCGCCAAAGACCTTGGTGTGATTTTGGATTCTAATTTAACTTACGATGAACACATAATTAAGACCGTTTCCTCGTGCATGTCCCGCCTCGGCCAAATAAACCGTGTCAAGCATGTTTTCGACAAACGTACACTTTTGATGATTATTAATTCCTTAGTTTTCAGCAGGTTATTTTATTGTTCCAATGTTTGGTCAAATACCTCAAAATGTAATGTTGACAAGTTACAGGCGGTGCAGAACTTCGCATGCCGCATTGTTAGCGGTGCGCGTAAATTTGACCACGTTACACCAATTCGCAAGGAACTAAATTGGCTTTCAGTTCAAAGCCAGCTTTACTACCGGAACGCTACTATGGCCTTCAGATGCATGACTGGTCAGGCTCCAGATTACCTCTCATCAAAATTCATAAAGCGAGCCGAGGTTAGTCGACGTAGCACCAGAAATTCGCAGCTTTTGCAAATTCCATTCTTTAGAACAGCTAGCGGTCAGAGAACATTTTTCTATAGAACTGTAAACTTATGGAACTCTTTGGATAATTCCTTTAAACTGTGCAACTCCGTTAAGGTTTTTAAAAAACGTTTAAGGACCAAACTACTCAAAGAGTTGTAATTTTATATATTTGTATGCTTTTATTTTTCTTTTAGAACATTCAGATTTTAAAACATCTTTAATTGTAAATAGGATTTTTTAATTGTAATAGGATTATTTTTATAACATTGTCTTTGAAAAGCCCCCTTGGGGAAAGTCAATAAAGTATGTTGTTGTTGTTGTTGTGAATACATCGAACAACTTGGTCACAGATGCAACTGTATTTTTAAATGTTGGAATTAATTAGTGATGACAGTTTTACGTTTTTTTCCCTTTCGTTTTGCATCTCCGTTTTGACTAATGTCAAAAACAAAACCGTAACAAAATGTTACGCTGCCAAACCATTTTTTCCAATTCATTCTCTACCAGCTTTTTTACTTTCACCAGGAAATTCATAATGTGACACTTTATTCTGGATTTATCTCCTTAAAAGCCTTAGATTAGTCTATAGTGCGCCACATCTGCATGTTTGTCTTATCGACAGAGTTAATTTAAGCTTGAAGTAACATCTAGAGTCAAACGTATAGACATCTGTGATAATATTATTATTTTATTTGAAACTCCATCTTCTCAGGAAGAAATAAATTTACAGCTGAGCGAAGAGGTTAAACCGTTATTTCCAATTTCGTAAAAACGATGACACGTTGTTTTTAAGTGACAACAACACCTCCAAAGTTCATAATTATGAACATTTTCAGCTAAAAAACAAATTCAAGTTTATAACTGGCCTTTCAAGTGCTTAAATCTAGAAGCCGGATCAAGAACTGAAAGGCCAATTTCGAAAGAGGAATATCACAAAGTGGTAATATGGACTCACAATAGAAACAAACTTCATCAACCGCGGGAAACGCGGAGAGCAAGACAATATTGACTACAAATGCATAACAAGCGAATTTTTGGGCGCTAAGTGGAAAATAGACGAGGCGGAGAAACCATTTTTTTGCACCAGCCATGATGGCTCCACGTGTTCGATCTCGTTAATTCTAGAGTTCTATCGGGTACCAAAATATTCGTTTCTTTTTCGTTTCATGCCAATTTTTATTCAAACTTTATATTTTTTCCTTTTCGATCTAAAATTTGTCTTACAAATGCAGATATGGTTACTAGACATTCTTAAGAAGTGATTTAAACACTGAAAAATGCGATTATTAATCTTCTTTGGGAGTCCTTTTTTCTTAGGAAGCTTCCTTCTAATCCTCTTTGATAACTCATTGTGGCCACGGCAGCTTTAAAACTAAACAAGCATATATTTGTCGCAATCAGCTGTTTATTCCAGTAGGTTAAGTTCAATTGAACTTCAAATTAGCATTAAAGTTAATTCCTTTGGCAAGCACACAGACATCGGTAATATTTTTGTTTAACGATATGATAAAGAAACTCTCTTTGGTCACTTTTGAAATGACAACATAAGCGGTTTAATGGATATATTTAAATATACTGTCATTCTTTTGGGTAGGTAATTAAGTGCAAAGATCACCCTTGTATTGTGGTGAATTCTGAATTCCTAAAAAGCTTCATGAAACGAGTTCAAAGAAAAAGGAGCGAAAGTTAGGAACACTTAATCACTCGGAGACATTGGATCAATAAAACTTGAAGAAAAACTTAATCACAGACCAGTATTAAACTGGATATAACAAATATTTCAAAAGTAGAAATCTGGGTTAGCAACGAGAAAAATATTTCGTTTACACGCCAATTGCACAACCATGATTTCTGGAACCCTATTTCCTACGTGACATCTCAAATAAAAACTTCCTAACTATTGTTTACACGTTTGAAATATGTCTGAAAATTGTTTGTTATGTCAAAAAAGCCTTTTGTGCCTAACTTGTTACTGATGAACATCACGTATGAAATAACAATAAGAGGCAAATATTTAAAGACATCTTTAAGATTATTTTTTCATGTTGCATCAAACAATTCCGCTTTATTTAGCTTGCGAGAAGGCACTCACTATCAAGGCTTCAGTACGAGTTACTTCGCCCGTGAATAAGTTTGAGACTTTGAGCAACACGACCCGGGGCGAGGGAACGTCGTGCCGCAGTGCTAATAATTCGAACATGGAACCATCGAGGGCCGATGTTTACACAACATAGTTTGATCGATATTGGGTGTCAATCAAATGTCCATATCATTTGCGTGAATGCCACAGATGCAAACTTACTTCAAAAGGTTTGAATTAAACAGTGTCATTAGTAACATTTAGTGGCTCTTTTAGCTCCGTTTCGTCTCGGACAAAACGAGAAACAAAACAGAAGAAAAGCAGGAAATTGCTTTTTTAAACAATTTTTCGCTGTTTCTTTTACATTCTCTATTTGTTCTCCTCCTTTCGCCAAAAATTTTAAAATGATAGTCCTGGAAAAAATTACATAACAAAGTTCGCCTAAATTTTCCTCTGCCAACGCTTCCATGTACATAGCAGTGACTGAATTCTTCATGTCGTAATTCCCCTGAGCGATTTGCCATTCTCCTCCGATAACCAGAGTTATATGATTATGCTAAATTGAACATGATAATCTATTGATCGAGAAGGAAAATGAAGGAATGGATACTTAAAAACTATCAACACTCGATTAAAATATTTAACAATTCACCGAAGGTGAAGTGAATAGTTAAAAACTACACCTTGTTAAACCTACATAAACAGCATTTATTATTTATGAACCTACGGTCACTCTTGGTTGCGTGTTAAGCTACTCCAGCGTATCTTTCCAGCTCTCCAAACTTCCTGTGTGCATCGTATATTAATGACCGCTCACTGACGCACGAAGCAATTTTTAAAAATACCCTGTCAAAGATTAGTTAACCACCACAGATTCGCCGCCTCGTTTTAAGTTGGAAAAATTTTAGTTTTCGCAAAATAATTACTCTCTATAGATTCAACATTTTATTCCGGCTTCAAATCAGTCATTTCATTTACCAACGGAGGATTAGCTGACAGAAAAATCAGACGAAAGACTTAATCGCTACAAGATGCGTCAATCCTTCCTTTAACAAGAGTTCTTTCCCAGGGAATTTTCTTTCTGATCCTATCTGATAATTCAGTACCTTGATAATTAAACGAGAACATGTTCGTCGCAACCAGCTGTAGATTTCAGTAAGTAACCTTTCAGTTTAATTTCAAATTAGCGTTGAAAGTGAATTCCCTTGACAAACACAAAGACATGGGCTATATTTTTTTGTTTTATAATACGTTATGGGACTCCTAAGTCTTAAAAGATCGATATCATCACTTCTTTAACGGGTGAAATAAACATGTCGTTATTAGGGCGATAATTAGATGGTATAATATTGAAGCAAACTCTGAGCTCATACAAAAGCTTTGAAAACGACTGAATAAAAAAAAAAAATTGGGGAACTTAGGGACAGCAGTTAATCGCTCGGAAATGGAGGAAATAAATTCCGTAAAACTCACAGACAACTTAAGGATACACCAGCGACAAACTGGACATATAGTGATCTCTATACAAATGATGCGAAACTTGTTTTTCGCCGTTGCCAATATAATTTCAGAACATCGATCGATCTGTAAAAAAATTCTGTAATAAACAGAGATGGTCAATTTTATTCCGTATACTTTCGTAACCTTCAGGTAAATATACAAGTAGCAAAAACTTCTTCACATAAGCTTTACGGATAATATTCTGATCACAAAACAAACAAATTGGACCGTCTCTTTTGGAAATACGGCGTCAACATCAACGTCAAGCGTTTTCTTTTAATTATAGGAAAAGTAGTTGAAATAGTTTTATCGTAGCACACACCATCGGCCTCAAACACATCTCTCAAACTACTCTTTGAAGTTTTATCTGATGCCTTCATATTACTAAGAGGAGAAAACATGAAAGTAAAATGTTTGCATATCTTTCTTCGATTATGACATCTTGTATTTTAGCATAGCGGCAAGAAACCTTATTTTTGAAAACACATAGCTAGGGTTACTTAGTCCGTCGTTAAATTGTTGTCAGAGATATAAAGACTATCGACAACAGCCTGTGCAACTATTCTATTAAGCCACTTATTTACTTTTATCCAAAAATCGTATTTAACGACTTCTCTCTAATAATAATCATGACTTAATGAGTTTGCTTTGAAAGTCTGAAGAACTCAAGGAAGATCTTACTCAGCAAAGTGCTTGTCTAACTGTGTGCTTCACTGCTTGTCTCACTTCACTAATCTTCCAGCAGTATAGGAACGGGTTTAACGTCGAGTTAAAGTAAAGTAAAGTAACTGCTACTTCCCATGTGACGACCGAGAGTAATGAATATTTTTTAGTATGAGTGATCACAATTCCCAGTACATATATTGGTACATAACAAACAACTAATACTAACTCCACCCAAAGTGCACTGTACACTGCCTCTCTGAATCGTGCCATGTTCTGTGCTTTTGTTTGGCTCGACTGTTGTTGATCTCCTACTTGTGCTTGATAATATCTGAGAGTGCAAAAAATCTTTGCGTACGATTTGAGTGATATTATCAGGCAAAATGATGTAACTAGCCTGCTATACAAAAGGATTATACGGCGATAAAAAATTCCACATAAAGAGGCGACAAGAGTAAAAACCCAAAAGGTAGTTACAATAATATACGTGCGCTTCAAAGTTACAATTTGTTTGTATCTCAGCCCCAACATCAGGGCGAGAAGTCTGTCCACGCTAATGGCTGTCATCGTCATCAGAGATACCAAAAACAATACACTACCGGTGATGAAGACTGCGTAATATGCGTATCGACAAAGGCTCCAGTGTTCTTGAACCACCGACATCAAATATGCAGCATAAAGAGGCTGGACAACAAGACCAACCAACAGATCAGTGGTTGCCAGACAACGATACAGGGGTTTGGACGGCGGATGCAGGCAAGATTCCTTGTGAAGAGCCACAAGGATAAGAGAATTTCCAGCAAATGCTGTGATGGAGAGAAGAATGTCAACCGTTAAGAAAAAAATTGATAGTTGTTGTTGAAGCCCACCCACCAATGAGGGAGAGCATAGTAGTTCTCCAAATGGTTTCGTGTGACTTCCACCGCTACTGAAATTTGCTGTCGACATAATTCAGTCCTCGGCATTTCCTCTTTCTGGTAGGTTTCTGTTCTTGCAACGAAAAATGGCAAGGATTACTGAAGCCTGACTTCGTAACTAACAAGCGCATAAAGACTTACTCACTTTAAATGCATCAGGAAATTTTCTATTGGGTCAAAAAAAATTATTCTTTCTCCCGGGAACCTTTGGGTGCCTCTGCCATGAAATAGCAATTAAGGGCAAATATAGAAACATCTGTTATTTCGGTGTTTTCACGGTGCGACAAAGAGTCGCTCTTTACCAGAATCAAATTCCATTATAATAGGATGCAAATCAAGGGCCATATCTTTCGTGTGAAGTTAAGACTTGAATTATCAGCTACGGAAAGCTAAAAATGCAAAAGCTCAAGCTGGCGATGTCAATTGTTGTAGGAGAAGAATTGAATTCGTGGCAATAACCGAATGTACTACGTAGACTACACAACTATTCAAAATTAATGTATGGCCACACATACAAACCTGTTTCAAAATATTTGAAATTAACTGTGTATCTAATTGTGCTTTGTGGCTTTTTTTCTCTCCGTTTTCGTGCCCGACTAGAACCAAAAACAAAATGGTAACAAGATCAAGTTATTACGCCAGCAAATTATTTTCTGCAATTTCCTCTTTCACTTCAACTGGATAGCCAGAAATCCGTGACAGCATGGCCGCCACGCACGCGCATCGATGTCGAACTCGGTCTTTGGTTACAAACGAGTCGCAAAATCACTACAAGGAAAACAGCGCACTTTCAGCAAACTTCTTTTAATTCCTTCTTTCCTTCTTTTAACCTTCTTCAACCTTCTTTTAATAATTGCTCCTGTGTTGCAACCGCCAGAGGAGACAAGTTCTTCCAGATCGCAAAATAAAGTGGATTATATGTACAATCTTTTGCTGCGTGCTCTATGTGCATTTCCATGTGTTAAAGCGGTTCTCGAAGCAATTTTTGTTGGACGTAGAAATCCTCGCACTCCGCCATACATTTTCTTAATAACTGCATAAATTGTCGAAAATCAACCCACTTCACGGGTTCACAGGAATGTTCTTCCAGATCGAACTGATTTGCTCACATGCTAAACTTCATTTATAGTGCAAAAATTGGAGCCATTGAAGCCACTAAATTGGTTCCAAACTTGGTGGAAAAACAGCCCAAATACTACTAAATAGTTCTCAATGTGACGCCATTTTTAAAACGCAAGAAAAATTTCGGGAAAACGCCATGTTTTTAGTCGACCGTCAACCGTAGTTTCTAGCCCCTTCGTCCTCCATCTTGAATCCCAAAATGCTTTACTTGACCTATGTAACCGTGCCTTTGATAAATTGTGCAATGGCGTTTCGCCCTATGATGTAATTTCCTTTCTTCTTCCTATTGGTCAACGAGATAAGAAAAATGGGCGCTAACTGAAAGTAGAGGAGGTGGGGAAACCATTGTTTTGCACCAGCCATGATGGCCCTACGCGCTAGGTATCATTTTAATCCTAGAGATCCATCGGGTACCAAAATATTAATTTCTTTTTCGTTTGATGCCAATTTTCATGTTCAAACTTGATATTTTTCATTTTCGATTTACCATTTTTCTTACAAGTGCAGATATAGTTACTAACCATTCTTAAAAAATGAGTTAATCACTGAAAAGTGCGAATATTAAATCAGTTTCTTTTGTAGGTGCCTTTTTTCCTTAGGAAGCTTGCTTCTACTCTGATAACTCATTGTGGCGACGACAACTTAAAAACTAAACAAGCATATATTTGTCGCAACCAGCTGTATATTCCAGTAGGTTAAGTTGAATTTAACTTCAAATTAGCATTAAAAGTTAATTTCTTTGGCAAGCGCACAGACATCGGTAAAATTTTCCATTGACGATATAATAAGGAAACTCTCTTTTGTCAGTTTTGGAATGACAGCATAAGCGGTTTAAGCGGTATATCTAAATATACTTTCATTCTTTTGGGCCTGTATTGTGGTAAATTCTGAATTTGAAGGCAGATGTTTATACAACATAGTTTCATCGACATTGGGTGTCAATCAAATGTCCATATCATTTGCGTAAATAAGATTGAGCCATGGCCTCAGATGCAAACTTAATTAGTAACATTTTGTGGCTCTTTTACCTCCGTTTCGTCTCCGACAAAACGAGAAACAAAACAGAAGAAAGGCAAAAAATTACTTTTTTAAACAATTTTTCGCTGTTTCTTTTACATTCTCTATTTGTTCTCCTCCTTTCGCCAAAAGTTTTAAAGTGATCGTTGGAAAAATTGTAAGACGAAGTTCGCCTAAATTTTTCTCTGCCAACGCTTCCATGTATATAGCAGTGACTGAATTCTTCATGTCGTAATTCCCCTGAGCGATTGGCAATTCTCCTCCGATAACCAAAGTTATATATGACTGTGCTAAATTGGACATGATAATCTATTGACCGAGAAGGAAAATGAAGGAATGGATACTTAAAAACTATCAACACTCGATAAAAATATTCAACAATTATTTGCCGAAGATGAAGTGAATAATAATATTGTTGATTATTCCCGCGACGATGTCGAGTTAAAAACTACGCCTTGTTAAACATACATAAACAGCATTTATTATTTATGAACCTACAATCACTCTTGGTTGCGTGTTGAGTAACTCCCACGTATCTTTCAAGCTCTCCAAACTTCCTGCGTTTATCGTATATTTAATGACCGCACAGTGACACACGAAACAACTGTTAAAAATACCCTGTCAAAGTTTAGGACCACCACAAACACGCCGCCTCGTTTTAAGTTGGAAAAATTTTCGTTTTTGCAAAACGATTTCTCTCTATAGATTTAATATTTTATTCCGGCTTCAAATTAGTCATTTCATTTACCAACGGAGGATTAGCTGACAGAAAAATCAGACGAAAAACTTAATCGCTGAAGATGCGTCAATCCCTCCCTTGACAAGGGTTCTTTCCCAGGGAATTTTCTTTCTGATCCTCTATGATAATTTAGTACCTTGATAATTAAACAAGAACATGTTCGACGCAACCAGCTGTTGATTTCAGTAAACAAAGTTTCAGTTTAATTTCAAATTAGCACTGAAAGTGAATTCCCTTGACAAACACAAAGACATGGGCTATGTTTTTTGTTTCCAATACGATATGGGCCTCCTAAGTCTTAAAAGATCCATTTTGTCACTTCTTTAATGGGTGAAATAAACATGTCGTTTTTAGGGCGATAATTAGATGATATGATATTGAAGCAAAGTCTGAGCTTATAAAAAGCCTTGAAAACGACTCAATAAAAAAAAAATTGTGGAACTTAGGGACAGCGGTTAATCACTTAGAAATGGAGGAAATAAAATCCGTGAAACTCAGAGACAACCTAAAGATACATAAGCAACAAACTGGACATATGGTGACCTCTATGCAAATGATGCGAAACTTGTTTTTCGCTGTTGCCAATATAATTTCAGAACATCAATAGATCTGTAAAAAAGTTCTGTAACAAACAGAGATGGTCAATTTTATTCCGTTTACTTTCGTAACTTTCAGTTAAATATACAAGTAACAAAAACTTCTTCTCATGAGCTTTACGGATATTTTTCTGATAACAAAGCAAATTCAAGACTGAAGCTGGACCGTCTCTTATGGAAACTTAGCGTCAACATCAACGTCAAGCGCTTTCTTTTAATTATAGGAATACTAGTTGAAATAGTTTTATCGTAACACACAACACCGGCCTCAAACACATCTCTCAAACTACTCTTTGAAGTTTTATCTGATGCCTTCTTATTGCTAAGAGTAGAAAACTCGACAGTAAAATGTTTGCTTATATTTTCTTGAGTTATGACATCTTATCTTTTAGCAGAGCGACAAGAAACCTTATTTTACACATGGCTGGGGCTACTTAGTCCGTCGTTAAATTGTTCACGGAGATATAAAGACTATCGATAACAGCTTGCGCAACTGTTTCGTTGAGCCACTTATTTGGTTTTTTATCCAATAACTTATTTAACGACTGCTCTCTAATAATAATCGTGATTTTATAAGCCTGCTTTGAAAGTCTGATGAACAACTCAAGAAAGACCTATTTTAGCAAAGAGCTTCTTTCAATGTCCGCTTCACTGCTTGTCTCACTGCACTAATCTTCCAGCAGTAGAGGAACGGGTTTAAAGTCGAATTATAGTAAAGTAAAATAATTGCTACTTTCCGTACGATGACTAAGAGTAATGAATATTTGTTAGTGCGAGTGACCACAATTTCCACTGTATACATTGGCGCATAACAAACAACTAATGCTAACTGCACCCACAGTGCACTGTCCACTGCCTTTCTGAATCGTGCCATGTTCAGTGCATTTGTTTGGCTCGACTGTTGTTGATCTCGTACTTGTGCTTGATGATTTCTGAGAGTGCAAAAAATCTTTGTGTACGATGCGAAGGATATTACCAGGCAAAATGGTGAAACTAGGGAGCTGTACAAATAGATTATACTAGGATAAAAAATTCCACATAAAGAGGCGACAATGTTAAAAACCCAAAAGGTAGTTACAATAATATACGTGCGCTTCAAAGTTACAATTTGTTTGTATCTCAGCCCCAACAACAGGGCGAGAAGTCTGTCCACGCTTATGGCCGTCATGGTCATCAAAGACACTAAAATCAATACATAGCTTGTGACGTAGCCTGCATCCCTGGCGTATCGACAACGGCTCCAATGTTCTTGAAACACGGACATCCAATATGTAGCATAGAGAGGCTGGGCAACAAGACCAACCAACAGATCAGTGGTCGCCAGACAACGATACAGGAGTTTGGACGGCGGATGTAGGGAAGATTCTTTATAAAGGGCAACAAGGATGAGAGAATTCCCAGCAAATGCTGTGATGGAGAGGAGAATGTAAACTGCCAAGAAAAAAAAATTGATAGTTGTTGATGCCCACCCATCAAAGAGGGAGAGCATATCAGTTCTTCATACGATTTCGTGTGACTTCTGCCGCTGCTGAAATTTAATATCAACATAATTCTGTCGTCGGCTTTTCCCTTTTCTTGTGGGTCTCTGTTCTTGCAACGAAAAATGGCAGCAATGACTACTGAAGCCTAACTTTCTGCCTAACAGTCGCATAAAGACTTACTCATTTAAATTGCAACTGGAAATTCTCCATTGGGTCAAAAAATATTTTTTTCCTCGGGAACCTTTGGGTTCCTCAGTTATGAAATAGCAACTAAAGGCAAATATAGAAACATCTGTTATTTCAATGTTTTTACAATTCGGTAAAGAGTCACTCTTTATCAGTATCAAATTCCATTATAATAGGATGCTAATTAAGGGTCCATATCTTTCGTGCGAAGTTAAGACTTGAATTATCAGCTACGGAGAGCTAAAAATGCAAAAGCTCAAGCTGGCGATGTCAATTGTTGTAGAAGACAAATTGAATTCGTGACAACAACCGAATGTACTACGTAGACTACGCAACTATTCAAAATTAATGTATGCGGCCACACATACAAACTTGTTTCAAAATATTTGAAATTAACTGTGTATCTAATTGCGCTTTGAAGCCTTTTTCTCTCCGTTTCGTATCCTACTAGAACTAATAACAAAATAGTAACAAAATCAAGTTGTCAAACCAGCAAACCATTTTCTGCAACTGTAAAAGGAAAGTTATTCAATTTTTGTTCCAGCGATTCTCTTAAACAGTTGATGACTCTCCTTTAGAGATGACAATTAGTTACAAGATAATTTGTTAATCGAAATGGAAAATGAAGGGATGGGCGCTCAAGGCTTATCAGCAGTCGATAAAAAAATTACAATTGCTCTAGGAGAGGCTTCGTCTTTACCAACCCTGACCCATATTTCAAACTCACTAAAACTGCCACGTGCTTTTCATCGCACACTGAGGAACGAATAAGTTGTTAAGAAGACACCTGCTTGTCAAGACAGATTCGGACTTGTTTTAGGCCTCGTTTACATGACTGCATTTCCTTCGGCTCTATAAATATATGTAAATACCTGTTTTTGAAAACCTTTCAAAACTGAATATATATATATATATATATATATCAAAGAAATATATATTTTCTTTGCTCATCAAAAAGAGACACTTTGTGATGAGAAAAGAAAATATATACACAGACTATTTAATATATTTTTTCAAATAGCAACGTTTTCGAAAATGGATTTATATATATATTTAGATATTAACTTTAGATCCATTGTTTTATTTTCGGACGGGAAAATTGCTGATAGACAAACAAACAACTCATTCAATTCTTTAATGCAGAGCAGGAGTTTTATCCTGGAAATTTTAATTCCTCCGAATAGCGACTGCAGCCGATCGAACCACTAGCGCGTTTGGGTGTGCTGCGACAAGTTTCTAATCTGAATCAGTGAATTTAAATTTAAGTACAAATTAGCACTAAAAGTTAATTTCTTTGACAAACAAATAGATTAATAATACCTTTTTTAAATGATAAAATAAACAGTATATTAAGATAAGATGTCATTCAAGGGCCGATTATTAAATATAAATATTCTCCCTTTACTGAGAACAATACTAAGCAATTACGGGGAAAAGTTAGCCTATGTGACCCTGTGATATAATATCCTTTCTTCCTACGTCTTGTTAGTGAGCTAATAAAGGTGTTTTTGTATAAAGAAAGCTCTCGTGTAAACGGCAGGTAACTTTGTGATGCTCTAGGGAAATTTTCAAAATTCTACTTTAATTGCAACGGTTACATCATAATACTGAAGTGAAGAAAACAATTAATAAGTGGTGGTCCAAAATCAATGGACGTATGCTAAGGAATTATCAAAACTCGCCGCACAGTTCTTCAATTCTACCTTCATCAGCAACATTTACTTCAGACTCCCTCACTAGCGTTTACTCTTTAAAAAGACTATTGACAAAAGATCGATGTACAACGATTCTACTGAACTTCTTATTTCTTCCGCTTAATCAATAATATTTTGAAGAGCGCTCCATAATAACAATCGTGACTTAATAATGAAAGTCTTACAAAACCAAACCGAGGAGGAGGTAACGCTACGGACAACAAAGTGCTTCTCTGATTGTCTGTTTTACTGTTTGTCTTACTTCACTAATTTTCCAGCAGTAAAGAACGGACATTCAAGTTAAAGTAAAGTAAGACAACTGATACTCTCCATATAACGACTAACTGTGACTGATATGTCTTACTATAGATTGGTGCACAACAAGCAACTAACGTAAACAGTGATAAATGGGCAACACAGCGGTCAAATGATTACGCATGCGCTTTTAGATGAATGATTTGCTATTATAAACATTGAGAATCTAAGTAGTGCGTAGTTTTTTGCTGTTTCTTGGGAAAGTTGAAAGTTTCTAAGGCCTAGACTTATACACATTGTTGTTTTAGACTTGACCCATGTTGTGCTAGTTTATACTCTCGTGCTTTTTTTCACACTTTGCTTAGCGGTGTAAATGAAGTCGCAAGCTTGGCCATGCTGGCGAGGGTAAAAGTAAGCTTCTGTAATTTGCCTTCATCGCCGGAACAAGGCGTCTGCGTTAAAAACAAGTTGAGATATCTCAACATAAAATAAGACCAAGCTTTAAGCTCTCTCGGAAATCCCTCTTTCAACTATATTACGCATTCAATTTGAAATAGTTAGGAATCTAAACTTTCCTTCTTCACTTCACGTAATACACGCGTTTGAAAATCCCTTGTATTCTTTTCAAAACACGTGCATGCGCAGTGTTTGACCGCTGTGTTTAAATTGGCTGCTATTAGCTGTTTACCTCAATCAATAAAATTTACTTCAAGTACAAATTAGCACTAAAGTAATATCCCATGGCAAACGTGAAGACATCGGCTATATTACTGTTTTCAATACATTAAAGGAACTCGACTTCGACTTTTTAAGTAAAGAAATAAGCAGTATATTTAGATATACTGCTATTTCTAGGCCCGATAATCAATTGGAAATATTCTCGCTGTATTTTAGTCAATTCTGAATTCAATAAAACTTTATGAAACGACTTGAAAGAAATATAGGGGAAAGTTTGGGACAGTTAATCGCTCGGAAAATGGTAAACATATAATCAAAATCACTTGGAAAAATAACCAGGAACAAGTTGATTATAAAACGACCCATTCTAACTAATATTTTTAAAATTCGATGGTTTTTTTTTTCATTCAATATTCCTTTTTCCCCGTTAGCATATAATTTCAAACGGTGAACCTGAAAGAGAACTTTGTACTAACCGTTCTTGCTTCAATTTTGTTCCTTACACTTTCTTATAATAACAAACGTGAGAGTATGATCATGCGCGCGCATATCTTTTCTTAGATTATGAATTGATCTAATCATGATAATGTGAGGTAGCATTAAAATAATTTTACAAATTTATGGTTAGCTTTTCCATTGCCTTCCCTTTAGTTGTTAAGATGTGAAAAAAATACAAGTTTTGAACTGAAAGTACCAGTACGATCTGGTAAAACTCGAGATGGTCTAACTCCATGGACAGCAAAGTGCTTGTCTGATTGTCTGCTTCATTGCTTGTCTTACTTCACTTATCCTCCAGCAGTAAAGAAACGGGTTTAACGTCGAGTTAAAGTAAACCAAGACATCGGCTATTCCCCATAGGATGACCAAGTGCGATGAATGTGTTTTGTTACTATGTGCAATCGCGGTCACCACGATAAAGAATGGTGCAAAACAAACAACTAACGCTAACTGCACCCACAGTGCACTATACACTGCTTTTCTGTATTGAGCTATGTTCAGTACATTTAGTTGGCTCGGCTGTTGTTGAACGGGATCTTCTGCCTGAACCTGATGATATCTGAGAGTGCGAAAAATCTTTGTGTATGATGCAAGTGAAATAAGCAGGCAAAGTGGTGTAGTTATCAGACGGTGCAAAAGAATTATACGGTCATCAAGTAAAGCCCATAAAGAAGAGACAATAGCCAAAATCCAGATGGTAGCTACAATGATATATGTGCGCTTCAAAGTTACAATTTGTTTGTACCTCAGCCCCAACAATAGGGCGAGAAGTCTGTCCACGCTTATAGCCGTCATCGTCATCAAAGACACTAAAAACAATGCAGAACCCATGATGTAGAGTGCGTCAAATGCGTATCGACAAAGGCTCCAGTGTTCCTGAACTAAGGACATCCAATAAGTAGCATAGAGAGGCTGGGCAACAAGGCCAACCAACAGGTCAGTTGTTGCCAGAGAACGGTACAAGAGTTTGGACGGTCGGTGGAGGGAAGATTCCTTGTGAAGGGCAACAAGGATGAGAGAATTTGTAAGGAATGCTGTGATGGAGAGGAGAATGTGCACTGCTGAGAAAAAAGTAAATATTTCATGTAATCCACCTCCAAAAGATGGGTTGCATATCAGTTCTACAAAGGTTTTCGTCTGTGTTCCACTCCTAGTGAACTTTGTTGTCGACATTGTTCTGTAATCGTTTCCTTTTTCTTGTACTGAGGCAACTGGCAACGAGAAATATTTCGTTTAAACACCACAAGCTGTGCAACGATGACTGAAACTTCCTTCAATAAGCACATAGAGACTTCCTCATCAGCGTTTGCTTGTTCAAATTGCGTAAACAAATTGTCTGTTGTGCCAAAGAGTTGATTGCTTTTTTCCGGAACCCCTCAGATTTAAGGTTCTTTTTAATATTAGAATTCATTTACATTTTAATGGTTTGATGCAAAATTTTATACAGATGATATGGACACTTGACTAGCTCCCTATCGATGAAAGATCATTAAGAAACGTGACCAAAATAGGAACAAATGAGCTTTAAGAGTCAAACGTACAGACAGACATCTTTGATACTATCGGTATTTCACAATTATTTTAAACGTCGCCTTCTCGGGTAGAAATTCACCTTTATCTGAGTGGAGAAGATGGAGTCTTACGTTTAATCTCGGAAAATTGGAAGTTTTGGAAAGAATTAATTAAGGAAAGGAAAGTGTTTATTTAAATCCATACACCCCCTTACACAATGTTTGTTATTATCAATGACATTTTCAAACATTCATAAACAATGTGGATATTTTTCTAATGACAAAACAAATTCAAGTTGACAACTGTTTATAACAAGGACAAGAGAGTTTCCAGGAGATGCTGTGATGGGAGGAGAAAGTACACCGCAGAGAAGGAAATGGCTGCTTGATGCCGGCAACTCATCAGCCAGAAAGGTTGAAAAGCCACTTTCCAAACCTGGTGTTCCTTTATGTTACACCTCCTATAAAATTAGTTGTCATCATGCAGTTCAATATACGGTCGTTTTCTTTTTTCCCGCTAGTTACCCGTATTCGAAACGACAGATATTTCCTATCAACGGTGCCTGGCCACTCAGACCCTTTTTTCTTAAGGCCCAGCCACACGCACGCAACATTTCAACGCAGCATCTTGCAACATTGTTATTATTAACCAGACATCTTGACCGAACAAGCTTGTTCAAGAAATGATTTATGATATAGGAAACATTTCGCTTCAAGATTGAAGCCCACATTCCTCCAAAATTAAATTATTTACAATTCCAATACTCAATTCTGTCTCAAGAAAAGCCAATTTCCTCCCACAGTTGCATTAAATATAACTCTTTGTCAGTTTCTTTGTAACGAGTAAATCTCTCACTGATATGTTATTCCGTCGATAAACTCTAAAAGTTCCTTTTATAGACACAAAAGTTTTATGTTACTGGACCATGAAGGATAGAAACATTGCCTCTCGCGGGAAAATTTTCCTGCAAATTATCTTCCATAATAAGTGAGGCAGGATGTGTAGCTTGTTGTGAAGGTGGCGTGGCTTGCGTATCGACAAAGACTCCAGTTATCGTTAGCCAAGGACATCGTAGGCTGGCTAAAAATACCAACCAACAAATCAGTTGTTACCAGACAACGATACAAGAGTTTGGACGGCGGGTGAAGGGAAGATTCCTTTTGAAGGGCAACAAGGATAAGAGAATTCCCAAGAAATTTTGTGATGGAGAGGAGAATGTAAACTGCAGCTGAGAAATAGATTGACTGTGGTTGTAATCCACCTGCCAAAGAAGGGGAGCACCGAAGATCTTTAAATTCGTTTGTCTGTGCTTCACTTTTGGCTAGATTTGTTTCCGCCATCATTCTGTAGTCGTTTTGGTCTTTCCTTCAGGTTACATGTGATTGTAATATGAAATGTTGTGTCTTGAGAGCAACTGCCCAGCCTAGAAATCACTTAAAATGCGTTGATCACTGAAACTGAATAATCATATGAATAATTATATGAAAACTTTTTCAACCGCGTTTACACGTTTGAAACGCTCGGGAATATTGTCATTTATGTCCAAAAAAAAAATGGTGAACCATTTACATGATTTACATGGATCTTCTGATAATTTTGCAAAGTTTGTCTTTCACAAACGATTGATCCTTAAAAGAGAACTTTACGAGATACAGCGATAATAAGGTTTGGTTTTAGTAAAGTAAAACGTTTTCAACAATGCCATGCACCGAAAATTGTTATTTGGTTAGAAATCCTTGATTCATATTTCACACGTCAAGATTTTTGATAAAAACGAAATCTCGAGTCAATATTTAGTTCTACCTTGGCGATATGTTTCTCAGTTCGATCGCCATCAGGAGATGCCTGTAAAATTGTCCTTTGCTATTTCTGCAGCTTTCGTTATGAAATGGTTATGATAATCTAATGTTGGGTAATGATAAACACCCTCAAAATAATAACAATCCTTTCTCATCGCCTGTAATCTAGATGATCTCTTTCTTTGCACAAAAAGCTTAGCCTTTAATCCTTTCCGGGTTTTCATTGTTCAAACAATGTTATCGATGAGCTTCTTAGAAGTTAGTGAGTCCATCGGCACCATTTCGACTTTATCTTGGAATAAATGCTATAAATATAAGTCTTCTCCACTTCTACGAAATATTTTGCCATCAGACAGAAAAATGGAAATTTTTACTAGCTTCAGAAAAGACTACAGGAGACCACAGAATCTCGAAAGTTAATATATTTCACTGGGATTTTATCTATTGACACTTAGACCCAGTTCTTTAAACAAAGTTCAGTCGTTGTTTGACAAAACTGCGTTCTAAGCCATCTTCAATTTAGCTAAACCTTTTATCTTGGTATATATTTTTGCGAATAGTATCTAGAAGGTCGAGATCTAATAAAGGAAGGACATTTATTATGATTTATCTACCCTCTTATAAAGAACACCTGCTTTTAACTGCTCGCGTAAAACCATGGTTTGGGTTAGACCTTGTGTAAATAACCGGCCTTAAATTTTTGATAAAACATACCATTTATTTTGGACTTTTTCGCTCAAAATTACGATTTCTTGTCTTTAACAAGACTTACTTTGAACGGTTCGTACGGCAATATCGTGTCAAAGTCATGCGCTTTATTTCATGCAGTGAGGTTAAAAATTTGAAATTATTTCACCACCCGTAAGAGAAGAACTTAAAAGTCACTCCTTCACTACCCTTTCGGAATCAATTTTATCCTATACATGTACTTTCTTATCACTAAGATAGTAAAACGAGTAAGTAAAATCAAACTAGGGTCCCGTTTTTTGCCCTACTTTGCGTGGACGGCATTTTTTATGTCGATCAAATCATAGGTTGTTGTATTCAAAATAACTGCCGTCGCATGAAACTTACTTGTCCCAAGTATTGCTGTTAGTGATACGACTCTCTGTCCTTTAGCTGTGCGTACACTTGGAAATAAAGTTTATCCACAGAAGCCGCGATTGAAATCATTGGTTGTTAATAAGATAAGGAAATTTTTTTTTGTATCAAGCCGACTGTAGTCAAACGCCTCCCTCAATTAAGATGAATACCATTCTCAAATTCGTACGATATCGTTAACGTGTAGATTCCATGATTTTGCTTTATCATGCGCAAAATGAGCCATGTTGATCTATGGTGAGAATATCTAAAAGGCTTTGTACAGCAACTTCATTAAGCTTCTTACTTCTTCCTATTCAATGATTTATCCGGCAGGTGGCGTTATCTAATAGCATCGTCACGTTACTTACTCGCTTGAAACAACTAAAAAAGAGTATAATGGAAGATCTAACCTCGTGGACAGCAAAGCGCTTGTCTGATTGTCTTCTTAACTGCTCTTCTTACTTCACTAATCTTCCAGCAGTAAAGAAACGGATTTAAAGTCGAGTTAAAATAAACCAGGGTACTCGCTATTCCAAGAGCGACGACTAAATGTGATGAATTTCCTTTTATATGAGCCATCACAATTCCCACTAAAATCACTGGCACATAACAAGCAAGTAACACTAACTGCACCCACAGTGCACTGTACACTGCCTTTCTGTATCGCGCCATGTTCAATGCATTTGGTTGGCTCGGCTGTTGTTGAACATGACTTTGTATCTGAGCGTGATGACGGCGAAGAGCACAGAAAATCTTAGCATATGAAGCAATCGAGATTAATAGGCAACATGAGATGATAATTCGACCAAACCAAGGCGCTATACGAGAATCTAACACATTGCATAGAGTAGCGACAAAGGTTATAATACAAAGAGTAGCGACAATGATATATGTGCAGTTCAAAGTTACAATTTGTTTGTATCTCAGCCCCAAAAACAGGGCGAGAAGTCTGTCCACGCTCATGGCTGCCATTGTCAACAAAGACATAAGAGATAATCCATACCCTGAAATGGAGGCTGCTACCCATGCGAATCGACAAAGTCTCCACTCTTCGAAAACAACCGACATCCAAAGAGTAGCAGTGAGAAGCTGGCTTACAAGACCAACTAACAGATCACTTGTTACCAGACAACGGAACAAGAGTTTGGACGGCGGATGGAGGGAAGACACCTTGTGAAGTGCAACGAAGATCAGAGAATTCCCAAGAAATGCTGTCAGGGAAAAGAAAATAATGATTGCTGACAGACGCAATGAGTATTGTTCAAATTCGCCAGCCAAAGATGAGGAACATACAAGTTCTTCAAATGTGTTCACCTGCGTTCCATCTCCCATTGAATTTGCTGCCCCACTGAGAGCACCTACGCAGCGTTGATCACCTAAACTTTATTTTTTTCAAAATAATCATATGAAAACTTTTTCAGTCGCGTTTAGTCGTTTGAAATGTTTGGAAATACAGTCATTTGTGTCCAAAAAATGGTGAACCATTTTTCTTAAAGCCTCACTTTTGCCTCAGCTATGATTTATCAACACGAGGTAAGAACAAAACATCCACGAATGTTAATATTTTATGGCGCGATGGACAATCCTTCGTTACTCAGACGAGCAAGAGCTGTCAATTTCTTCACAAGAGTCACATTAAATATAACTCTTTGTAAACTTCTTTGTAACGGGTAATTCTTTCACGTTATTCCATCGATAAACTCTAGAAGCTCCCTCCAAAGATGAAAAGTTTTTTTTTTTTTTTACAACGACTTTTCCTTCAAATTATCTTTGTTATATAGGAGAGGCAGGATGTTTGTCGCCTAACAGTGTTAAACGTCACAACTACACCACATGTATATTCAACTTGTTAGGTTCAATCTTTGAATGACTTTGCGCTAAGAGGTAAAATTAAAATAAAATATTGTGCTTTTTATTTTTCATCCCACAGTTTTAGGCAAAAACCAGCCTTACGAAGGAAAAGTGACGTTGATAGCCGCATAAATGAGTAAGTGTTGTTTAAATTATGATCAGCTTCTGGAAACCAAATTTGAATGGGAAGGCGAAACGTCAATCAGTTGGAGACAACTTGAATGCTGACTGTGGACTTGTAACATAAAAGCAGGGGCAAAAAATGATTTAGTTTCTCGACACCACTGTCGTTCACTGAGTTCAAAAGCTCATGACAACAAGAGGACTCTGTAAGAACCGTTTGCAGTCAATTTCATTTCACATATGCACTGCTGAGAAAAAAGTAAATCTTTGATGTAATCCACCTCCAAAAGATGGGGCGCATAATATTTCGTTTAAACAGCACACGTCGAGCGACGATGACTGAAACTTCCTTCCATAAACACATAAAGATTTCCTCATCAACGTTTGCTCATTCAAAATGCGTAAGCAAATTGTCTGTTGTGCCAAAGAGTTGATTTCTTTTTTCCGGAGCCTGTGACGAGCATCTTGTATGAAAGTCGAGTTGAAAACTACACCTTGTTAAAACCTACATTAACAGCATTTATTATTTATGAACCTACAATTATTATTGGTCGCGTGTTAAGTAACTCCAGCGTATCTTTCAAGCTCTCCAAACTTCCTGCGGGCATCGTATATTTATGACCGCAAACAGACGCACGCAACAGTTGTTAAAAATACCCTTTATAACATGGCGCGCGTGCTTGCCCTGTATAAGTCCCTGTTGAGCCGCTATGAACAAAATCTCTATTTACGCACGCCCGTGCGTAAATAAGATGACGTGAGCAATTTTTTTTTACCTGGCTTGAGAGTTTCTTTCCTGTTAAGCTGCAGTGCAGTTTTCCTTCTCTTTGAAATACGGAAGAAACCAGCGAAGAACTACCCAATTTTTCTATCGGCATTGACCTTTTAGGTCCTGATCCAACTGCACTATGCACGGCAGCGTAAACATTTGTGGAACTTAGGGACAGCAGTTAATCGCTCGGGAATGGAAGAAATAAAATCCATAAGACTCAGAGACAACCTAAAGATTCACCAACAACAAACTTGATATACGATGAACAACACATGATGCGAAACGCGAATTTCGCCGTTGCCAATATAATTTCAGAACACCAATCGATCTGGAAGAAAATTCTTTAACAAACAGAGATGGTCAATTTTATTTCACATAATTTCGTAACCTCTAGTTAAATATATAACAAAAACTTCCTCACATAAGCTTTAAGGATAATTTTCTGATCACAAAACAAACAAATTCAAGACTTAAAATGGACCGTTTCTTCTGGCAATATGGCGTCAACATCAACGCCAAGCGCTTTCTTTTAATTGTAGGAAAACTAGTTGTAATAGTTTTCTCGTAACACTCAACATCGGCCTCAAACGCATCTCTTAAACTACTCTTTGAAGTTTCATCTGAAGCCTCTATATTTCTAAGAGGAGAAAACATGACAGTAAATTGTTTGCATATCTTTTTTTCGATTGTGACATCTTGTACTTTAGCATAGCGGCAAGAAACCTTATTTTTGAAAACGCATAGCTAGGGTTACCTAGTCTGTCGTTAAATTGTTAGCGGAGAAATAAAGACTATCGACAACAGCCGCTGTAACTATTCCATTGAGGCACTTATTTCTTTTTCTCCAAAAACTTATCTAACGACTGCTCTCTAATAATAATCGTGACTTTATAAGCCTGCTTTGAAAGTCTGAAGAACAACTCAAGAAAGACCTATTTTAGCAAAGTGCTTCCTTTAGTGTCCGCTTCACTGCTTGTCTCACTTCACTAATCTTCCAGCAGTATAGGAACGGGTTTAACGTCGAGTAAAAGTAAAGTAAAATAAGTGCTACTTTCCGTGTGACGACTAAGACTAGTGAATATTTTTTAGTATGAGCGATCACAATTTTCACCATATATATTGGTGCAAAACAAACAGCTAATGCTAACTGCACCCACAGTGCACTGTCTACTGCCTTTTTTAATCGCGCCATGTTCAGTGCATTTGTCTGGCTCGCCTGTTGTTGATCTCGTACTTGTGCTTGGTGATTTCTGAGAGTGCAAAAAATCTTTGTGTACGATGCAAATGATATTACCAGGCAAAATGATGTAACTAAATAACTGTACAAAAAGATTATACGGTCATAAAAAATTCCACATAAAGACGCGACTAGAGTAAAAACCCAAAAGGTAGTTACAATAATATACGTGCGCCTCAAAGTTACAATTTGTTTGTATCTCAGTCCCAACAACAAGGCGAGAAGTCTGTCCACGCTTATAGCCGGCGTCGTCATCAAAGTCACTAAAAACAATACATTGGCTGTGATGTGGGCTGCGTCTCTTGCGTATCGACAAAGGCTCCAGTGTTCCTGAACCACGGACATCCAATATAGAGCACAGAGAGGGTGGGCAACAAGACCAACCAACAGATCAGTGGTTGCCAGACAACGATACGGGAGTTTGGACGGCGGATGTAGGGAAGATTCTTTGTAAAGTGAAACAAGGATGAGAGAATTCCCAACAAATGCTGTGATGGAGAGGAGAATGTCAACCGCTACGAAGCAAATTGATAGTTATTGTTGAAGCCCATCCACCAAAGAGGGAGAGCATAACAGTTCTTGAAATGATTTCGTGTGACTTTTACCGCCACTGAAACTTGTTGTCGACATAATTCTGTCTTCGGCGTTTCCCTTTTCTTGTAGATTTCTTTTCTTGCAACGAAAAATGGCAGCAAGGATCACTGAAGTCTTACTTCCTAACTAACAATCGCATAAGAACCTACTCATTTAAAATGCATCAGGAAATATTCTGTCGGGTCAAAAAAATTTTTTTTCCTGAAAACCTTAGGGTACTTCAAATAAGAAATAGCAATTAAAGGCAAACATAGAAACATCTGTTATTTCAGTGTTTTTACAGTGCGACAAAGAGTCACTCTTTATCAGATTCAAATTCCATTATAATAGGACACTAATCAAGGGTCCATCCCTTTCCTGTGAAGTTGAGACTTGAATCATTATCAGCTACGGAAAGCTAAAAATTCAAAATCCCCTTCTGGCCATGTCAATTGTACTAGGAGAAAAATTGAATTCGTGACAATCACCGATTGTACTACGTAGACTACACAACTATTTAAAATTAATGTTCGGCCACACCTACAAACTTATTTCAAAATATTTGAAATTAACTGTTTATCTAATCGCGCTTTGTAGTTTTTTTTCTCTACGTTTCGTATCCGACTAGAACTAAAACCAAAAGAGCAACAAGATCACGTTAGCACGCCAGCAAACAATTCTCTGCAACTGTAAAAGGAAAGTTATTCAATTTTTGTTCCTGCGATTATCTTGAGCAATTAACGACTCTCCTTTGGTGACGACAATTAGTTTCCAATAATAAAGTAAACACGATAATTTATTAATCGAGATGGAAAATGAAGAGATGGGACGTCAAAGTTTATCAACAGTCGTTCAAAAAGTTGCGATCGTCCTAGGAGAAACTTAGCCTTTACTAACTCTGACACTTATTTCAAACTCTCTAAAATTGTCACGTGCTGTATATCGCACAGTGAAGAACGAATAAGGTGTTAAAGAGACACCTGCTTGCGACGACAGATTCGGACTTGTATTAAGCCTCGTTTAAACGATTGCGTTTCTTTCGGTTTTATACATATATGTAAATACCTGTTTTTGAAAACCTCTCAAATTTGAAAATATATCAAATAAATATATCTTTTCTTTTCTCATCAAAAGAGACACTTTGTGATGAGAAAAGAACATATATATATACGCAGACTATTTCAAATATTTTTTCAAATAGCACTCTTTTCGAAAATGGGTTTATATGTATATTTATATATTAACTTTTGATCCATTTTTGTTATTTTTGGACGGGAAAATTGTTGATAGACAAACCGACAACTCGTCCAATTCTTTAATTCAGAGTAGGAGTTTTATCCAGGGAATCTTCAATTTCTCCGAATAGCGACTGCGGCTGATATGACTATGGGCTGCGACAAGTTTTTAATCTCAATCAATGAATTTCAGTTTAAGAAGCAATTTGCACTGAAAGGTAATTTCGTTGAAGCGCCCATTACTTAATCGAAATATTCTCCCAGTATTGAAGACAATAGTAAACAATAACGAGGAAAAGTTAGCCTATGTCACCCTATGTTCTAATTTTCTCTCTTCCATAGTCTGGTTAGTAAGATAATGAAAATGTTTTTGCATCAAGAAAGCAATCAACAGATCAGTTGATGCCAAACATCGATACTAGAGTTAGGAAGGGGGGTGAAGGGAATGTTACTTGTGAAGGGCAACAAGGATAAGAGAACTGCTAAGAAACGCTGTGACGGAGAGGAGAATGTGGACTACTGAGAAAGGAATTGATTCTTGCTGAAGCCCACCTTACAAAGAGGGAGAGCAAAGCAGTTCTAGAATTGTTTTTGCCTGTGTTCCACCCCAAGTGAAACTTGTCGTCGACATAATTCTGTATTTGTTTCGTTTTCCTTGTAGCTATTTTTTTTTCCAGTAGAATAAGTTTAAATTCATATTAGCACCAAAAGCTAATTCCCTTGGCAAACACAAAGACATCGGCTACATCTTTGTTTGACGATATAATAAGGAAACTCTCTTTTGTCAGTTTTTGAGAGACAGAATAAGCAGTTTGTTTAGATATAATGTCATTATTTTGGGATGATGATTGATGGAAGAAATATTCCCTGTAAGGTTGTACATTATGAATCCCAAAAAGCTTGGTCGTTTTTTTCTAAATTCGTTTCCTGTTTTTTGTCATGATTGCGATGAGAAAAATATTTCACTGAAACAGCAACTGCGCAAGACGATCACTAAAACTACATTAGAATCATCTAAAAACTTCCTTATTATTCTCTACTGGTTTAAATTACGTCAGAAGATCGTCTGCTATGTCAAAAAAACTTATTTTGTGTCTAACTTGTCAGTTACATCACATATGAAATAGGAATAGGAGGCAAATATTTAAAGACATCTTTAAGATTATTTTTTATATTGCAACAAACAATTCCGCTTTACTTAGCCTGCCATAAGGCATTCACTATTAATGCTTCAATAGGAGTTACTTCGCCCGTGAATAAGTTTGAGGCTTTGAAACGATCGAAACCCTACTAAATCCTATTTACTGCATAAGATCTTTAATAAAAACCTCTTCACTACTGTTTACACCTTTGAAATACGTGAGAAAATTGTCTGCTGTGTCAAAAAGGCCTTTTTTGTGTCTAACTTGCCATGTACATCACGTATGAAATAGGAATAAGAGGCAAATCATTTAAGGGCCGATTATTAAATTGAAATATTCTCCCTTTATTGAAGACAATACTAAGCAATAACGGGGAAAAGATAGCCTATGTGACCCTATGATATAATATCATTTCTTCCTACGTCATGTTAGTGAGATAATAAAGGTGTTTTTGTATAAAGAAAGCTCTCGTGTAAACGGCAGGTAACTTTGTGATGCTCTGGGGAAATTTTCAAAATTCTACTTTGATTGCAACGGTTACATCTTAATACTGAAGTGAAGAAAACAATTTTTAATTGGTGGTCCAAAATCAATGGACGTATGCCAAGGAATTATCAAAACTCGCCGCACAGATCTTCAATTCTACCTTCATCAGCAACATTTACTTCAGAACTCCCTCACTAGCGTTTACTCTTTGAAAAGACTATTGACAAAAGATAGACGTACAACGATTCTACTGAACTTCTATTCCTTCCGCTTAATCAATAATATTTTTGACGAGCGTTCCCTAATAATAATCGTGACTTAATGAAAGTCTTACAACACCAAACCGAGGAGGAGGTAACGCTACGGACGGCAAAGTGCTTCTCTGATTACCTGTTTCACTGCTTGTTTTACTTCACTAATTTTCTAGTTGTAAAGAACGGATATAACTTCAAGTTAAAGTAAAGTAAGACAATTGATACTCTCCATATAACGACTAGGTGTGACTGATATGTTTTACTATAGATTGGTCCGCAACAAACAACTAACACTAACTGCACCCCCAGTGGTACGCAGCCTCTCTGTGTCGCGCCAACCGAACAGCGACTGCATCTTAACCAGTAAACAGTTTGTGTTAACCCCTTTAACTCCCAGATCAAATTTTTATTTCTCCTTACCATCAGTCATACAATTCTCATAATGTTAGTCCAGAGAATATAGTATTGGATCAACTAATTATCCCCAAATTGACATTTTTCTTGATTCTCACCACTAATCTGGTTGGTTTTGTATTGATATTGTAAGGAGAAATTCTGTCTTGGTAACTCATGGGATTTAAAGGGTTAATTAAGATATGAAGCACGCAGGAAGCTGAGGAGACATCATCCAGCCATGACACCCTCGGCCTCGTTTTGAGTACGAAATTTCATCAAATACTAAATTATTCATTTCGTAACATATTTACTTTTCTTTCGACTCTACATTATTTATTTTAACTCTTAAACCATTATTTTATTCATCGATGGGGAAATAGCTGAGAAGCAAACCACACGAGTGCCTTTATTGTTAAAAAAATGCAACAACGTATTTGATTCTTATGGATAAGTTCTTTTCTCGGCAATTCTCCTTCCCATTTATCTCTTCTTTAATTATTCCGAATAGCGACTACAACGACTGTGTTGCCCATTTATCACTTCACAGTGATAAATGAGCAACACAGTGGTCAAAGATTACGCATGCGCTTTTAGATGGGTGATTTGTTATTATAAACTTTTAGAATCTAAGTGATGCGTAGCTTTTTGCTGTTTCTTTGGAAAGTTCAAAGTTTGTAAGGCCTAGACTTATACACATTGTTGTTTTAGACTTGACCCATGTTGTGCTAGTTTACACTCTCGTGCTTTTTTTTACACTTTGCTTAGCGGTGTAAATGAAGTCGTAAGCTTGGCCATGCTGGCGAGGGTAAAAGTAAGCTTCTGTAATTTGCCTTCATCGCCGGAACAAGGCATCTGCGTTAAAAATAAGTTGATATATCTCAACATAAAATAAGACCAAGATTCAAGCTTTCTCCGAAAACCCTCTTTCAACTGTATTACGCATTCAATTTGGAAAAGTTAGGAATTTAACCTTTCCTTCTTCACTTCACGTAATACACGCGTTTGCAGATCCCTCCTATTCTTTTCAAAACACGTGCATGCACAGTGTTTGACCGCTGTGAGTAAGATGGTCTAACTCCATGGACAGCAAAGTGCTTGTCTGATTGTCTGCTTCATTGCTTGTTTTTCTTACCTTATCTTCCAGCAGTAAAGCACGGGTTTAACGTCGAGTTAAAGTAAATCATGACAACGGTTATTCCCCTTAGGATGACCTAATGCGATGAATGTGTTTTACTATGTGCAATCGCGGTTACCACTATGAAGGATGGTGCAAAACAAACAACTAATGCTAACTTCACCCACAGTAAATCTTTGATGTAATCTTAGGGTGCCTAGCAGTTCTTCAAATGTTTTCGTTTGTGTTCCACTGCTAGTGAACTTTGTTGTCGACATTGCTCTGTATTCGTTTCTTTTTTCTTGTACTGAGGTAACTAGCAACAAGAAGTATTTCGTTTAGACAGCATACGCCGAGCGACGATGACTGAAACTTCCTTCAATAAACACATAGAGACTTTCTCATCAGCGTTTGCTCATTCAAAGTACGTAAGCAAATTGTTTGTTGTGCCAAAGAGTTGATTTCTTTTTATCCGGAACCTGTGATGAGCCTCTTGTATGAAATAGCAGCAAGAGGCAAACAGAGAGACAACTGTGATATCATTTTTTATGGGGCGAAAAACAACCTTTTTTTCAGCTGATCGACCGTTGGAACATGTGGGGTGGCTCACGGATGAAATAGCAGTAAAAAGGAAAAATAGAGACATTGTAATATCAGTTTTTATCAATCAAAATGCGATAAACAACCCTCCAGATTCTAGCTACTTTCTAATATTTCAAGTAATTCACGTTTTCATGGTTTGATGAATTTAGAGATTCCCCAAGTCCAAATTTTATTACATCATTCAAAGTTGCCAGCTTGATCTTCGTAATTTCAGGTTGTCGAGGCTGATAATGATTGAAGTATTAATTTCACACAGATGATATGGACACTTGATTAGCTCCCTTTCAATGAAAGTTCATTAAGAAAAGTCACCAGAATGGGAAAAAAAATAGCTTCAAGAGTCAAACGTACAGACAGACATCTTTGATACTATTAGCTTTTCACAATTATTTTAAACGCCGTCCTCTCAGGTACGTAGAAATTCACCTTTAGCTGAGCGGAGAAGATGAAGTATAACGTTTAATCTCGGAAAGTTAAAGATTTTGAAAAGAATTCAAAAGAAAAGGAAAGTTTTGATTTAAATCCATGCACCCACTTACACAATGTTTGTTTTATAACATCATTATCAATTACATTTTAAAACATTCATAAGCTACATGGATATTTTTCTGATGAAAAAAAAAATTACGTTTACAACTTTTTATAACAAGGACAAGAGAGTTGTCAGGAGATGCTGTGATGGAGAGGAGAATGTAAACCGCAGGGAAAAAAAATTGTTGGTTGATGCAACTCATCTACCAAACAAGTGGATAAAGCCATTGTTTCTTTCGCTTTCTTATAGAGTATAAGTTACGTCATGAGATTGTAAGAGATTATATATTCTCTTGTGCAAGTATATCTTTCCTTTAATTAATGATTGATGCATGCAAAGTAAAGTTTGGTAGCATGTAAAATACTTTTTAAAAGTTTTGGTTTGTGTTTCCATTACCTTTCCTTTAATTTGTTTTACGTGACTAGCAAAAAATACTATCGACAGACCTCGAGCAAAAATTTAAGCGACGAGCGTTCTCTATCGGTCAGCTTTGCGCTAAAAGTATTTATGCGGAGGTGTATAACTCGAGGATGGTCTAACTCCATGGACAGCAAAGTGCATTTCGGATTGTCTGCTTCATTGCTCGTCTCGCTTTAGTAATCTTCCAGCAATAGAGAAAAGGGTTTAACGTCGAGTTAAAGAAAACTAAGATAACTTCCATTGCCAATGCGATGCCTAATTGTGATGAGTATTGTATTTGTGTCTCAGCCCTGCCAACGGGGCGAGAAGTCTGTCCACGCTTATTGCCGCCATCGTCAACAAAGAAACTCCACATAATGCTGAGCCTATGATGTAGGCTGCTGTCTCTTCGTAATAACAAAGAGTCCAGTGTTCGTGAACCACGGACATCCAACAGGTAACATAGAGAGGCTGAGCACTAAGACCATCCAACAGATCAGTTGTTGCCAGACAACGATACAAGAGTTTGGACGGCGCATGGAGGGCAGATTCCTTGTGAAGGGCAACAAGGATAAGAGAATTGCTAAGAAATGTTGTGATGGAGAGGAGAATGTTGACTGATGCGAAAGATGCTGGTTGAAGCCCACCCACCAAAGAGGGGGAGCATAGCAGTTCTTCAGATGTTTTCGGCAGTGTTCCACCTCTGGTGAAATTTGTTGTCGACATAATTCTGCATTCGTTTCCTCTGTTCTTGCAACGAGGAATATTTCGTCTAACTGAAACCTTCCTTTAAAAAAAAAATTAAGACTTCCTCACTAGCTTTCAATCATTTAAAATGCCTCAGAAATCTGTAGCTGTGGGATGCCTCAGGCAGAAAACTGATGCTGATTGTTGCCCCCCGCTTAAGAGGGAGAGCATAGGACTTCTTCAATTGTTTTCGTCTGTATTCCAATTGTTATGGAATTTGTTGTAGGCTATCTAAGATTGCAATGAGTAATATGTCGTCTAAACAGCCCACAACCAGCCACGATCAATGACACCTCATACATCAGTTAATAGTATTCATACACATGGACTAATTCCTCATCAGCGTTAACTCATTTAAAATCGTCAGAAAATTGTCTGTTGTGTCCACTTATTGAACCTTTGAAGTGCCTCAGGTATAAAATGGCAATAAGTAGACAATGGAGAGACATTTGTAGTATTAATATTTTAAAAGAACGACGAACAATCTCCTTTTACTTGGATCAACTTTCACTGATATAGTGCTAACCTGGTGTCCAAATCATTCGTGTGAAGTTCAGACTTGTATCATTAGTAGCCATGAAGAATTGGAAATAAAAATTTCAAGCTGGCGATTTTACTTGGTCTTAGAAAAGTTGGATTGGAGACAATCTGCGAATACATCAAACAATTCAAATTTAAATTTTGATCACAGATGAAAACGTATTTCTAAATGCTTGAGTCGATTTGTAAAGACGTGTTTTTTTTTCTTTCCGTTTTGTTTTGCGTCTCCGGACTTATATTAAAAAACAAAACCGTAACAAGATGGTATGCCGCGCGCCAAACCATTTTTTTAAATTCGTTCTCTACCAGCCTTTTTTCCTTTCGTCAGGAAAATTATAATGGTGTTTTTTTTAACAAAAACTGTTTTGCCTATTTTGCCTATTTCGCCCCATGATTTAATTTCCTTTCTTCATCCCTTTGGTCAACAAGATAAGAAAAATAGGCGTTAACTGAAAATAAAGGAGGCGGAGAAACTATTGTTTTGCACCAGCCATGATGGCACTACGCGCTCGGTATCGTTTTAATCCCAGGGTTCCATCAGGTACCAAAATAATCATTTCTTTTCGTTTGATGCTAATTTTTGTTCCAACTTTACATTTGTCATTTTCGATCTACAATTTTTCTTCTTTTAAAGTTAATTCCTTTGGCAAGCACACAGACATGGGTCAGTAATATTTCTGTTTGACGATATGATAAGGAAACTCTCTTTTGTCAGTTTTTGATTGACAGCATAAGCGGTTTAAGCGGTATATTTAAATATACTGTCATTCTTTTGGGCCGGTAATTAAGTGCAATCATTATCCCTGCATTGTGATAGATTCTGAATTCCGAAAAAGCTTCGGGAAATGAGTTCAAGGAGAAAAGGAGAGAAAGTTAGGAACAGTTAATCACTCGGAGTTGGTAGACATAGGATCAATAAAACTTGAAGACAACTTAAACATAGACCAGCATTAAACTGGATATATCAACTATTTCAAAAGTTGACAATATTCTTGTCATGAGTTAATCTGTGATAGCAACCAGAAAAATATTTCATTTAGTTAACGCCAATTGCACAAGAACGATCCCTGAAACCCTATTTCCTATATAACATTTCAAATAAAAACCTCCTCACTATTGTTTACACGTTTGAAATACGTCAGAAAATTGTTCGCTGTGTCAAAAAAGCCTTTTTTGTGCTTAACTTGTCATGTACATCACGTATGAAATAGGAATAAGTAGCAACTATTCAAAGACATCTTTAAAATTATTATTTCGTGTTGCAACAAACAATCCCGCTTTATAATTATTCACTCAATATTATGGCTTTTTAAAATGCAAATTGAATAAGTTTGAGGATGTAAGGCCACAGATGCAAACTTATTTTAAGATATTTAAATTTAACTGTGTGATTGGTAACATTTTGTGGCTCTTTTATCTCCGTTACGTTTCCGAGATAACGAAAAACAATACAAAAGAAAAGCAAGAAATTACGTGTTTAAAAAATTTTTTTGCTGTTTCTTTTACATTTTTCTTTGTTCTCTCCTTTCGCCATCAATTTTGCAGCGATTGTCCTGGAAAAATTACTCTCCGATAACCCGAGTTACATGCATGGCTATGCTAAAGTGAACATGATAATCTATTGATCGAGAAGGAAAATGACGGAATGTATACTTAAAAACTATCAAACAATCGATAAAAATATTTAAGAATTATTTTCAGAAGATGAAGTAAATATTGTTGAATAATTCCCGAGACGAATAAACCTACATTAACAGCATTTATTATTATTTATTGTTAAAAGCAACCAATGTATCTTTCAAGCTCCTCAAACTTCCTGCATGCATCGTATATTAATGACCGCGCACAGACGCACGAAACAATCGTTAAAAATACTCTGTTTAAGATTAGGAGAAATTAGTTAACCACCACAGATACGCCGCCTCGTTTAAGTTTGGGGTCAAAGCAAATTTTGTTTTTGCAGAATAATTGCTCTTTATAGATTCAAAATTTAGATCGGCTTCAAATCAGTCATTTCATTTACCGACGGAGGATTAGCTGACAGAAAAACTAGATGAATGACTTAATTAATTGCTAAGAGATGCGTTAATCCTTCCTCAGAAAGAGTTCTTTCCTGGGATTTTTTTTTTCAGTACAGCGACGGTAGCTTTAAAACTAATCAAACAAAAAGATGTTTGTCGCAACCAGCTGTTGATTTTACTAGGTAACGTTTCAGTTTAATTTCAAATTAGCATTGAAAGGGAATTTCCTTGACAAACACAAAGACATGGGCTATATTTTTTTGTTTTACAATACGATATGAGACTCCTTAGTCTTAAAAGATCTATTTTATCACTTCTTTAATGGGTGAAATAAACCTGTCGTTTTTAGGCCGATAATTAGATGGTATGGTATTGAAGCAAATTCTGAGCTCATACTAAAGCTTTGAAAACGAATAAAAAAAAAACATTTGAGGAACTTTGAGACAGCAGTTAATCACTCAGAAATGGAAGAAATAAAATCCGTAAAACTCAGAGACATCCTAAAGATACACCAGCAACAAACTGAACATATGGTGACCTCTTTACAATGATGCGAAACTTGTTTTTCGCCGTTGCCAATATAACTTCAGCACATCGATCGATCTGTAAAAAAATTCCGTAACAAACAGAGATGGTCAATTTTATTTCATATACTTTCGTAACCTTCAGTTAAATATACAAGAAAAAATAAACTTCTTCACATAAGCTTTACGGATAATTTTCTGATCACAAAACAAACAAATTCTAGACTTAAACTGGACTGTCTCTTTTGGCAATATGGCGTCAACATCAAAGTCAAGCGCTTTCTTTTAATTACAGGAAAAATGAGTCGAAATAGTTTTCTCGAAACACGCAACATCGGCCTCAAACACATCTCTTAAACTCCTCTTCGAAGTTTTATCTGATACCTTCATACTGCTAAGAGGAGAAAACATGAAAGTAAAATGTTTGCATATCTTTTCTTCGATTATGACATCTTGTATTTTAGCATAGCGGCAAGAAACCATATTTTTGAAAACACATACTACCGTTACCTAGTCTGTCGTTAAATTTTTCTCAGAGATATAAAGACTATCGACAACAGCCTGTGCAACTATATATTCTATTGAGCCACTAATTTACTTTTATCCAATAAAGTATTTAACGACTGCTCTCCAATAATAATTGTGACTTAATAGGTCTGCTTTCAAAGTCTGAGGAACAACTCGAGGATGACCTAACTCAGCAAAGTGCTTCTCTAATTGCCTGCTTCATGGCTTGTCTCACTTCACTAATCTTCCAGCAGTATAGGAACGGGTTTAACGTCGAGTTGAAGCAAAGTAAAATAATAGCTACTTTATATATGACGAATAAGAGAAATGAATATTTTTGGTATGAGCGATCACAATATTCACTGTACATAGTGGTGCATAACAAACAACTAATGCTAACTGCACCCACAGTGCACTGTATACTGCCTCTCTGAATCGCGCCATGTTCAGTGCATTTGTTTGGCTCGGCTGTTGTTGATCTCGTACTTGTGCCTGGTGATATCTGAGAGTGCGAAAAAATCTTTTTGTGTACGATGCGAATGATATTACCAGGCAAAATGATATAACTAAGGAGCTGTACATAAAGAATATACGGTGATAAAAAAAAATCCACTTAAAGAGGCGACAAGGTTAAAACCCAAAAGGTAGTTACAATAATATACGTGCGCTTCAAAGTTACAATTTGTTTGTATCGCAGTCCCAACAACAGGGCGAGAAGTCTGTCCACGCTTATGGCCGTCATCGTCATCAAAGACACTAAAAACAATACATAGCCTGTGATGTAGGCTGCGTCCCTTACGCATCGACAAAGGCTCCAGTGTTCTTGAAACACGGACATCCAATATAGAGCACTGATAGGCAGGGAAGTAAGACCAACTAACAGATCAGTTGTTGCCAGACAACAATACAGGAGTTTGGACGGCGGATGCAGGGGAGGATTCCTTGTGAAGTGCCACAAGGATAAGAGAATTTCCAGTAAATGCTGTGATGGAGAGGAGAATGTCAACCGCTAAGAAGCAAATTGATTGTTGTTGAAGCCCACCCATCAAAGAGGGAGAGCATAGCAGTTCATAAAATGATTTCGTGTGACTTCTACCGCTACTGAAATTTGTTGTCGACATAATTCTGTCTTCGGCGTTTCCCTTTTCTTATAGGTTTCTGTTCTTGCAACGAAAAATGACAGCAAGGATTACTGTAGCTTTACTTCCTAAATAACAATCGCATACTGACTTACTCATTTAAAATGCATCAGGAAATTTTCGATTGGATCAAAAAAAAAAAATTTTTCCCGGGAACCTTTGGGTGCCTCTGTTATGAAATAGCAATAAAAGGCAATTATAGAAACATCTGTTATTTCAGTGTTTTTGCAGGGCGGCAAAGAGTCGCTCTTTATCAGAATTAAATTTCATTATAATAGGATGCAAATCAAGGGTCCATTCCTTTCGTGTGAAGTTGAGACTTGAATCATTATCAGCTACGGAAAGCTAAAAAATGCAAAAGCTCACTCTGGTGATGTCAATTGTACTAGGAGAAAACTTGAATTTGTGACAATCACCCAATGTACTAGGTAGAAAACACAATTATTCAACTATGCAAACTTGTTTCAAAATATTTGAAATTAACTGTGTATCTACCTTCGCTTTTGTAGGTTTTTTTCTCTCCGTTTCGTATCCGACTAGAATTAACAATAAAACAGTAACAGGATCAAGTTATCCCTTTGGCAAAACATTTTCTACAACTGTAAAAGGAAAGTTATTCAATTTTTGTCCCTGCGATTCTATTGAGCAATTAACGATTCTACTTTGGTGATAACAGTTAGTTTCCAATTATGAAGTAGACAGGATAATTTATTAATCGAGATGGAAAATGAAGGGATGGGCGCTCAAAGCTTAACAACAGTCGATGAAAAATTTACAATTGTTCTAGGAGAGGCTTCGTCTTTACCAACTCTGACCCATATTTCAAACTCTCTAAGATTGTCTCGTGCTTTATATCGCACACTGAGGAACGAATAAGTTGTTACCTGCTTGCCACGACAGATTCGGACTTGCATTAGGCCTAGTTTACATGATTACGTTTGTTTCGACGTTATACATATAAGTAAATACCCGTTTTTAAAAACCTTTCAAATTTGAAAATAAATATCAAATAAATTTATCTTTTCTTTTCTCATCAAAAAAAGACACCGTGATGAGAAAAGAAAATACACACACACACACACATATATATATATACATAGACCATTTAATATATTTTTTTCAAATAGCAGCATTTTCGAATATATAAACCATTTTTCGAAAATGCTGCTATTTGAAAAGATATATTAAATGGTTAACGTTTATATTTATATATTAACTTTAGATCCATTGTTTTATTTTCGGACGGGAAAATTGCTGATAGACAAACCAACAACTCATCCAATTCTTTAATACAGAGTAAGAGTTTTATCCAGAAAATTTTCAATTTCTGCAGCTGATCAAACTACTAAAAGCGTTTGTGTGGGCTGCGACAAGTTTTTTAATCTCAAAGGTATTCAGTTTTAGTACAAATTAGCTCCAAAAGGTAATTTCGTTGACAAACAAATAGACATCGGTTGTATTACTGTTTGACAATACGATAGGAAAACTTCCTCTATTGAAGACAGTACTAAACAATAACGAGGAAAAGTTAGCCTATGTAACCCTTTGATCTAATTTTTCTTTCTTCCTACGTCTGGTTATTGAGATAATAAAAGTGTTTTTGTACCAAGAAAGCTCTCGTGTAAAAGGCAGGTAATTTTGCGATGCTCTGGGGCAAATGTCAAAATTTCCCTTTCATCACAACAGTTACATCTTAATACTGAAGTGAACAAAACAATTTATAAGTGGGTCGAAAATCAATGGACGTATGCTAAGGAATTATCAAAACTCGCCGCACAGTTGATCAATTCTACCTTCATCAGCAACATTTACTTCAGACTCCCTCACTAGCGTTTACTCTTTGAAAAGACTATTGACAAAAGATCGACGTACAACGATTCCATTGAACTTCTAATTTTCTCCGCTTAAGCAATAATATTTTTGACGAGCGCTCCCTAACAATTATCGTGACTTAAAGAAAGTCTTACCAAACCAAACCGAGGAGGAGGTAACGCTAAGGACGGCAAAGTACTTCTCTGATTGTCTGTTTTACTGCATGTCTTACTCCCCAAATTTTCTAACAGCAAAATACGGATATAACTTCAAGTTAAAGTAAAATAAGACAACTGATACTCTCCATACAACGACTGAGTCTGATTGATATGTTTTACTTTAGATTGGTGCGCAACAAACAACTAACGCTAACTGCACCCGCAGTGCACTCTACACAGCCTCTCTGTATCGCGTCAACCGAATAGCGACTGCATCTTAACTAGTAAATAGTGTGTGTTAACCCTTTAACTCTCAGATCAAATTTGTATTTCTCCTTACTATCAGTCATACAATTCTTATAATGTTAGTCAAGGGAATATATTATTGGATCAACTAATTATCCCCAAATTTGATATTTTTCTTTACTCTCACTACTTATCTGTTTGATTTTGTATTGATATTGTAAGGAGAAATTCTGTCTTGGTCACTCATGGGAGTTAAAGGGTTAATTAATTAAGATATGAAGCACACAGGAAACTGAGGAGACATCATCCAGCCATGACACCCTCGGCCTCGTTTTGAGTACGAAATTTCATCAAATACTAAATTATTCATTTCGTAACATATTTACTTTTCTTTCGACTCTACATTATTTATTTTAACTTTTAAACCATTATTTTATTAATCGATGGGGAAATAGCTGAGAAGCAAACCACACGAGTGCCTTCATTGTCAAAAAAAATGCAACGACTTATTTG